GTCAGGGTGGCTAGGATCTGGAACCAACTTCCAAGAGAAGTGGTGCTGGCTCCTACCCTGGGGGTCTTTAAGAGGAGGCTAGATGTACACCTTGCTGGGGTCGTTTGACCCCAGTACTCTTTCCTGCCATGGCAGGGGGTCAGACTGGATGATCTACTCAGGTCCCTTCTGACCCTAGAAACTATGAAACTATGAATTTGGATTGAGTGGTCTGTTTTGTTATGAGGCAAGATGCTCTCGACAGGGACAGGGCAGCTCCTCTCTGGAGACAGCATGTAGGCTGTCAAGTTTATGTCTGTCAGGTATTGTTCTAAAGAAGACTCTAGCACCCGCCAGATGGTATCCTTAACTCCTGGACAGGATTCAGAGAATGGAACTCTATTTCATACATTAAACTGCTAGGCCACTGACTGACTTAATGACTGGACTTCTGTAGTGAGTCTTCACTCCATGTTCTCTATCTGTTGAGCAGATCAGCTCTTTGCAAGCACCCTTACTGCATATATTGAAATCTGGCATGTGGCTGCATGCACATGCATAGCACAGCATGTCCCAGACTTTTCAGAGGCCCTTACCCATGTAATGGGGAGTGCTTAAACCTGTTGCATAATACCTTTCCCTAGAATCTCTGGGGTAAGCCCCTGTTGCTTTGGGATCTACCCATGGTCAATGGGTTTCATGCCAGTATAACGCTGACTTTTCTGACCCTGGAGCTCAGCAGAGTGAAGATCTGGATCTTTTCCTGGTCAATTTGTTTTGCATGGCAACCTGTTATGAGAATTAAACCTCTATCATCTATTTATATAGCTAAGATTACATCTGATACTCTTGTCTCTTTAGGTATACTGCTGCAACAGCAAAGACCTTGATCAACACAGCTGGGATTGTAACAAGCTGAAAATCAACACTTTCCACTGCCAGTATGACATTCTGAGTGGAAACTAAATCTTTTCCATGCAACGGAATTACACCCATGTGAAAGGAAGCAACTTGTAGGTCAAGAGCTTCAAACCAGCTCACACAATCCAAATAAAAGGTGCTGAGAGGTCACACACCTAAAAGGGGCATCTCAGTCTTTAGGACTGTGAAATACTGGAAGTGGAAATATTTTAGCATGAATTCTTGAGATCCTTCTTCAATTGCTCCTCCACTGAAGGTTTTTTTTTTTTTTGTGTGTGTACACATAGCAAAATAGGTTGCTAGTGTAGAAAAGCTAACAACTAGGAAGAGGTGCTTTGAAACAGACAATGAAGTTACAGGCAGAACATATAACATCTGCTCTCTAAACAATGCAACTTACTTAAAAATATAACTGTAAAGCCAAACTAGAGTATTTCCTTTTTTAGTTAATAGGCATACATGTATGGAATACAATCTGAAAAAAGACAATTTAATATTTCTTATTAGGAAAATATATATACATACTGTAACTTCTATTTTACAGACAAGTTGCAAATCCCAAATTCACCTATTTTCCAAGGCAAAAAAACCCATGTAATCCAAAAGTTGTCTCTGAAAGCACAGACCTGAGGCAGAGGAACTACAAATCAAATTGGAAGCATCAACAGTATCTACTTTTAAAGAAATCATTTTCTTACAGATTTTTGTAACTTAAATGTTTGATGTTAAAAAAGTTAAATTAGTATTCTAATGAAGTCTGAAAATACTGTTTATGATATTTAAATGATATCTGATATGATAGCATTGCTTCTAAAAGTGTAAGATTACATAAAAAGTTTTAACCAGTATTGGGTAATCTGCTTTCTCTGGCCACTCTCAAAATTTCTAAACTTAGAATTTTTGTTAAACAGTATACAAATGCTCTTAACTGGTAAGAGCTCATAAATTAAACTGTTACTCAAAGCCAATAGAAAATAAAGATCCAAATACAAAAGTTAAGTAACAATTAGTCCAGTGATTCTCAACCTTTTTAAATTCTACATACCCCTTGACAGAGCTAGCATTTTCCACGGGGTGCCTTCAGTCTTAGGCAAAAACCAAGTAAAAACTACAGAAAAATAATAGAACAATTCTCCTGTTACAAAGTCACATCACAATAGATCAGAATATTTTTAACA